AAAGGTGTATTTTATAGCCTCTGTATATATGTACATATAAGACAGGTGTATGTGTGTGTGTGTAGAACAAGAGAGAGACACTCAAATTCTGCATGCACCCCACTCCTGCTAAGGTGCTTGTGCCATGGTGGGTAAATGTTGAATTGATGAATGACTGAATAAATAAATGAGGTGGCAAATTACAGCATACCTTTTATCCCCTATTGATTCTCATCTGAGGTGTGCAATAAGCAGTGCCCTTGTAAAGCAGTGTTTTGCTTAAGCAACAGTGCCTTTGCTGAGTAGCCCAGGTTAGATTTTTCTCCAATGACATGTGCACAGTGGCACAAAGCCAGTGGGTGATGGAATCAGGCAATCTCCCTTTGGTGAACGGAGTGTATTTCAGTAGTTGAAAAGTGTTTGCTTTATAAATTAGTCCGTTTGAATTTAGATTTTATTCACCTTGAAAAGATGTAACGGGAGAGAAGGCTCTCAAGTTAGCCCTCATAAATACAAGTAACAGCTAAGTTGTAACTCTCACAGTACAAAGGAATCTTCTAGTCTTTTAGATATTCCTTCAGTGGCAATCTGAGAGACGCAAGGAGCCCATTCATCCAACGCCTGTCTACTCCACTCACCGATAGGGGTCAAGTGGATGACAGAGGGATCTCTTCTATGATCACAGTAAAGGGGAAAAATATCCTATGTCTGTGTGTGTATACCTTTACACACAATAGTTATACGTGTGTAAATACAGACACATATATACACACATGCACACATGAGAACTAATACATAGCACTATATGCGGATCAGTGACCATGTGACAGATACTGTATCCATGTTAATGAACATGGGTTAAGGAGGAGAAACAGCTGTAGCGTAATGACACGTGCAGCATGAGAGGAACTCAGAAGGCATCGTAAAGAGAATTTTTAAGGTTATGTAGGCTTTGGAATAAAAGAGAAAGAAGAGTGAGCATTCCAAGTGGCGCTTTCAGCACAGGGAAGGACAAGAATATTAACGGTACATAATGAAGTAAGAAGAAACAAAGACGGCAAGAACATAGGAGGGCAATCGATGCAAGAATTTGCACATCAGCCGGAGACAATTCTAGATGATGCTATGGATCGCAGTCTTGGGAGTTTTCCTTAAAGCTTTCAAATGACAGAGCATCCCACAAAATCTAATATTCAGAAGAGTAAAGAACACCATGAACTTTTGCAAATGACAAAAATCATCTAAAAAATCAGAGAATTCATAAAAGTTATCGTAATGACTCTGTGTCAAGTAAATTCCTCTTTAAGAATTACTTCTGAATCCCTTCTCCATGAAACTGTTCAATGACTTATTCTCTGACTTTCAGTTTGGATTCCCTTTGGAAGCATGTTCACCTGACATTGTAGCTACATTTCTGTAAAGCACTGGACAGACGCTACACGAATTAGTTCAGGCCTTGCGACAATTACATCCCACCTTTCATCACACGTGTGGAAGTATTTCTAAATCTCATTTAAATTCATGGTCATTAACTTATTAATTAACCTGTAAATTGGATGCTTTACTTTCCATCATCACTTTACAGTAGTTTGTAAGAAATAATACAGGATATAATTTGTAACAAGCTCTTAAAATAGCAGAAGAATTTTATCCTTTAAAACTTTTTCAACGTGTATTACATCTACAAAATGTTCCACAGCCAATTATAATAAACCACAATGAGGCCAATCTCTAAACAATGTATTTGTAACATTTCTTAGTGCCCCTAGGGCATAAAGAATGCTGGACCCTAGCCTTATGACAGTTTATTTTCAATTCTCAAAAAAGTGTTTATACTAAGCTTAGATTTCAACCTACAGTACACCAAACAATTGCTGAATCCTTAATATTCTATTTCAATTTCCTACAGGAAAGTTAAATGTATGTGAGAATAAAACTTAATATTCCTACATAATAAAAATAAATTACAAACATGAAATATTCTTAACGCAAATTCAATCTATTTCCAGGACATATAACCTGTGGAAAAATGGAACAGAGTAACAGTCTCTACTTTTGTACCTAATTTTACTAGGTATAGAGAGGGATATTTAAACCGACTAGGCGAAATTGCCTCTACCTTTGGGTGGCAAAATTAAGAATATTGTGACTAACAGACATCAATAACTTTACATAATGAAACACTACACGAAAACATATTTTAAAACGCTTTTATAAAAAGTTAAATGTAGAACTTTCAGGTATCTGTACACACAGAGAAAGTGCCTGTTAACTCAATAGGCTGCTTCCCAAACCCCATTGCCAGAGTTAAACACACACAAAATGAGTGTGTTAGTCATCGTGCACAACTGAGAAACGCTGAATGGTCTCATGGGTCTAAAAATAGCACCTTCACCAGTATGCCTTCTGCTTCTACTACTTAAACACTGGAATTTAAATGCACATATCCCATTAGGACAATAGAGGCAGAGCGTGCGAACATCAGCACTCTTGGTCTTATTCACGGGAATTTTTTATAAAGTTACAAACATCCCTATTTCAATGAATCCAAAGGACCAGCTAGAGAGGTGATGACATGAACATTTCTCCCACCCCAGTTACTCCTTCACACCCCACTCCCAATCTCCATACAGATGCCGACACCCCAGAGCATAACCTCTTTGGAAGTGTTGTCAGACCAAAGCACTTGGACTCCCCCTCTAATTGCATGTTGGGGAGAAGCAAATTTTGTTACTCTGGGTCCACAATGCTGGAAATTCTGCCACGTTAATGGGAATTTTCCTCCTTCACCCCAACTATTCCTTTACTACACTCAGTTTGGATTAAGTTTATCCATACCTTAAATAAAGAACATACAAGCCTAATAAAATTGGATATATTAGTATGTGCATACCGCTAAAAAAAGAAAAATTTCACATGAATGCCTCGTGGACAGTCTGTGCTCCCTCCCTCCACCTTTCATTTTTTATTTTAAAGGACATGGATCCTCCACACTCTGTAGTGTGTCCCTTTTGTTGGGTAGTTAGATAAGTCGAGGCACTGGGCATATAAGGTGGAGGAGAGGGAGGATGGTCCAGAAGATGGCAGTATGCCTACCTCCCACATAAAGGGGCTTTACTTCTAAATGAGTGCCAGCAAGAAACCAGTTAGAAGCCAACAGCCGCAACTGCGAGGTAGTGAGAAGGACCCAGCCAGACATGACCCAATGCTCACTGTAATACAATTAGCATTGCAGTTTAGCCGCACCCCCACCATGGGTTTTTCTGTGTGCATTATGGGTAAGAACATGCACCAAGGGGCCAGACATAACTCAGCACTCCAGGGGCAAGAACTGTCGATCAGTCAAAAGACCACCTCACCTCTAAGCAAGGGTGTAAGATAAGGGGCAAAAACAGCGGTTTTCCTCCCTGGATCAGCCCACCTCCCATTCTTGCAAGTGTACATTTCCTTTACTAATAAATCCTGTAAAATCTTTCACTACACAGTGCTCCATCTCCATCTGAATTCCTATCTTTGGGGTATAAAAACTGGGGTCTTTTCTCTTCCCCTTTTGGGATAACATCTTCTCTCTTTTTACTGTGTCATCTTCCATTGATTACCCCTCAACCAGCACTTTTCTACCATTCATCTCCCTACACCTGCATCACAGAGCTCAGCTTCAACTGAACTAACTCTTCTACACATTGTCTAGGTATTAGCTCTCATCACAGTGTCTCTCTCTTTGGGCGGTCACCGCTAATAGTTCTATGCAAAAGGTAGCCCTCAATTGACTTCATTAACCATTTAAAAATACTTTATAGTTTGAATTCACATTTTAGTATAGATAAAACCTGAACAGAATGCCCAGAATGTAAAATCCCCTTTAGAGGAGAGAAGCTATTTCCTTAAGGGGTTCAATATCTCCTTCAAAAAATTAACTAAAAGCCAAAAATAACTAGAAGCACCCCAGTTTGTAATTCAGCCTAACAATGTACTTCTGCTGAACTGCAAATTAAAGTTCAGAAACCAGTTTTCTTCTGATGTTCATTAAATTCAAATGCTTCCTTTGTTTCAGCATTCATTTGTTCTTTAGAAATCAGACAATTTATCAAAAACAGAACCCAATTAGTTCCAATTCATATGTAGCCTAATACACATTTCAACAAATCCATGATGTGTGTCCATACATATAAAGTGGCATCATATCTTCATAGCTATATAAGCAGACGGTATCAATAGATGGATTTAGTTCCCATCAGGATTCTAACCTTTCAGAAACTTCTCTATTAAAAACTCTTTTGAGATAGCAGCTTTATTCATAAAACATACACACATTTTATATCTGCATCTATGCTCCAATTTGTTTACACGTATATGTCATCAGAATATCTGCATGAGTGTTTACACTCTTAGGTCAACATATGTAAATAAATTACATAGCAATTTGAAAATTTAGCAACTAAATATGCAATCTGTTGAACATAATCAGGCATGCTATTCAACAACTGTAAGATATAATTCAATCTTTCCAAAGAAAATATACATTTTGTGTAAGGGTGTCTTCATCAGACTCAATGAAGTTTTCTAGGAATTTGCACTGAAATTTTTGCCTATTCAAAAAATGACATGTAAAGACAACTGACTAATGCTTAAATAAAAGGAAAATCTTAATAAAAAAAATCTAATTCTCTTACTGCCTATCATTTGTAAATATGATACACTCACAGGAGTTATTTCCAAACAAAGAGAACACAATCTTCTAGTCGAGATCCTACCCATAAATCAACATAAATGAAAGATCAGTGTCAGAAAATGAACCACTATCCACAATGCTTTAAGCTAATGTATATTTTAAAGTTTACTGTTCACATCCTAAACATGGTAATGAACCAAAATCGTTCCTTCTATTTTTCAGATAACGACTTACTTTTTTGATAGATTATTAAATAACTGAAACCAGGAATTAAGAAAAACCAACTAGTGGAATGTATGAAGGTTACAATGACTAAAAAACCTAAAAATCAGTTCAAAATAAGCATTACCTTGGTCTGACTTTTCATAAAGGACAGCAGATCTCTTTCCAGGTAACACCATTTCTTTAGGTTCTGTGGGCAAAGAGAAAAGAGATTAATAAAAACAACCTTTCCTTTTACTCTTTAAATGCTTCTTAAAGAAGATTTATGAGTAAAAGAGGGCAGAGAAGAAAATCATTTAACAAAATATTCAACGTCCTTCAGCAGCCGCCTTGGGAACCACTTCCTTTAAATGCCAAATAACTTTCCCAAAGGTCCCCTCTCCCCTGCAGCTGAGAACATGGGTGACAGAGACAGATTCTCAGCCCAACTTCTTTGCTTCGCTCTCTTTTCTCACATGGAAACAAGACTAGCACGTGAGCACAGAAAAGCATTAGCTTCAACCATTTCAAAAGATAAGATGTAATCCATGTCGGGACAGAACATTTACTTGGAATACAACTGGCTGAAATGGAATTTGCAATTATCTAAACTTACTTTCCTCCCTCCTCCAGTGAGTATGGGTTTTTAAATGTGCATGAAAGTTTGGATGTTTTTCTATTCCGTCTTTCCACAGGATTGATACAATGAGATACTGTGGGATGACTCGGTAAATAATTGGCGATTACCCTCCTTATGAGATGCAATTTCAGAGCTTTTCTATGCTGCGATGAGGAGGGAAGTACTTTGTAGAAGTCAAAAGTTATGAAAATATATCTTATTCCCTCCCTTAGCATATAACAGTCTTGAGGAGTATCCCATAAAAGATTTTATTGCATCATTATCTGAATGTTCAGATTGGAGGATAAGAAATTCAAGTCTGAGCAATAGCTCTCCAGAAAGGACTGTCACATAGATAGGTATTTTAAATTCACCCCTTAAGAAAGTCATTTGACTGAAAAAACTATATATAAAGAGTTAAAAGTAATGTTGATTAATTGACTTTAACAGTCATTATAAGAACAGTCATATAACTGCAATTACCACAGCATCTTACTAGTGGTGTGAATTTAGACAAGGAAATTAAAGTCTGTAAACCTTCCTTTTTCATCTGTAACATCAGAATGATAATTATTCCTACCTCGTAGAACTGATAGGATAAAGAAATGAAAGAAATACATATACAGGAGATAGAACTAAGAATGTTAGCTATTATAATTATGAACATCATTATTAGGATTATTATCATTGTTCTCCTTAAAAAAAAAAAACCTTGCTGCCCCTTTGAAGAACACTACCCTAGTGAGCCACATGGTAGAATGATTTTAATCACATCATACTGGATGTTACTTAATTTGCTTATTTATTATTAATCAGACTCTGATGGCAAAGGAAATAGAGTTGTTTCAGGTATTTGGGCAGGCAAGGGAAAAAGATGAAAAGCATTTCAGAGGGGTAAGGAAGCTGTCACTCCACTGCAGTGACTTCCCTGGACTTTGCTGAGGATTTTAATTTAAAGATTCCTCCCAGAAACTGGGATATACTCCAACGTTCACTTAAAGCAAAAGGCCCCTGTCAGCTCTTGTGAATACTCAATCCAATTTAGGAAACACTTAGTGAGCCCCTACTGCAAGCCAGGGTCTATAACAGACTTCAGAGAAACCATAATAAACAAAAAGGACTCAAGGAAAACACAGTTTAATGGAAGACACATTTGTAGACAATTATTTCAAGTAGTTTGTGAAAATACTATCACTAAACAATACAGATGTGTTGAAGCCACAGAAAGGATTGAAAGAATATTCTGCCATCAGGAAAGGGTCATTTAAAAAATAATCTTAAAGAAAAATTCAGTCAAACTAGCTGAACTGGTAAACACTGGCTGACCGTAGCCTGTCTGGTCTAAGAAGATCTCACAAAAGAGAAGGACTTGGAAAGACTAAGTCTGGCAGGCAGGTAAGTAGGGACATAAGTTAAAATGACACTGCATGGAGTAGGGTACACCATTAATCCCCTATGACTGATGTCCTTATAAGATGAGATAAAAATACAAATCTACAGAGAGGAGATATCACGTGAAGACAAAGACACAGAGGAAGACAACCGTGGAGACCTAGGGAGGCAGAGACTCGAGTACCTACAAGCCAAGGAATGCCGCCAACACTGGAGACTGAGAAAGTCATAAACATACGACCCTTAGAGCTTTCAGACAGAACATGGCCCTGTTGACATCTTGGCTTTGGACTTCTAGCCTCCAGAATGGTGAGAGAATAGACATCTCCTGTTCCGAGCCACCCAGTTTGTGGTGGTTTGTTACAGGAGCTCCTGTTAACTAACACATCTTTCGAGCCAATAAGCATTAGGCCCTTACCCATAACCCGATCACCCAGAGCTTTCAAAAAAAGTCTTACGTTTACATGAAGTCACCAAACATATCCTCAATTTAGAAATCAGAATACCCAGCTACATATAAAGAGCTGATTTAAACTTTAAATTGTCTACCTCCATGGCTAGGATCTGCTACAGTGGAAACCACAGCCAAAAAAGAGTATCTCATATTTTACCCCCCAGGTCCCTCCTCCCCAGCTAATTGATGTTGGTTCCAATGCCTCTGGAATATGGGAATGGAGTGAAAGAGGGGAGGTGCGGAAAGAAGAGGTCAGTGGAGAAGGAAGGCTGACTTTCTGGTCACTGAGCTAGGCGGGCTCATATGTATTTAAAGCTGATTCTCAGCCTATTCCAGGTTCTCCTGCGACTGCTCCTACTTCTCCAGTCACTGGGATCCTCTCATCTGTACTTGGTGAGTCATTCATCTCACCTCATCCCTTACTCCACCCTCAGCTCCAAGTGGCACCTGAAGCTTCTATCAGCTGAGACCAGTTTGGTCACCGGGCAGCCTTTGGGGACAGGACCTGGACAGCCTCATGATCGCTATCTCATACTCATGCTCACATCTGTTCCATAGGGAACCCCCTAACGAACCCTAGGGAAACAGGCTAATCCCAATTCAGCACCTCTCCTTCGCTCTGCCATGGGCTGCCCACTAGCTCAATTCCTGGTCTTTAGACTCATCAGAAACCAGTGCACTGTCTCTACAACCACCGCCAAAACTTCAAGGGACACATACTAAATTCTCACTGAGGAGGGGAGGGTATAGCTCAGTGGGAGAGCACGTGCTTAGCATACATGATGTCCTGAGTTCAATCCCCAGTACCTCCATTAAAAAATAAATAAATAAACCTAATTAGCCCCTCCAAATAAACACAAAAGCAAAACAAACAAAAAACTTACTGAGTCTCTTTGACACACCACTTTTGAGCACTGATGTGGGAAACATGAAAACACCACACACCCTACCTCCTTGTGGACGTTCCCAGGGGACCTTCGGGTCACTCCAAACAAATCAGCCTTTAATTTCCAGATCTCCCACCCCTTTTGCATTAGGAATGTAGGCGGCATCTAACTAGCTCTCTGGCTCCTACTAGGGGACTTCTGCAAGGTAATGCATCTCAAATACCACTTTGGTATCTGGTAGCTATTGCCTTAAGAGGTCAAAATTTTCAAATTTTACATCCTGTGTTATCAGTTTTTACAATTTGAGCTTTAAGAAAACCATGAGGGAGGCAGCTAAAAATTATAAAATATGTCTACTGGATTTTTTTTAAGTTTCCTGAGCATGCCATGAGTCTTACTTACACTGTTCTTCAATATAATCCCTCCTATTCTGTCAGGCAGAGTGCCCAGGGGCCCCTGTGTTCTTCTCCCCCACTTCCTTTCTCCATGTCCATTCCTGCTGGTTGTGGTTCAATTCTTACTTTTCAGCACCTTCCAAATTTACCACCCTGTCAAAGCTTGAATTCCAGCTTCTCCATAAATGATCTCCGGGTACTGTGGACTCTGTTGATTTTATACTCTCTGACCTTGTATAGTGAAAACAGTCAATGCCTATCATTTACACTGCTTTCTTGGGTTGCGTTGTGCTGTCACGTCTTCCCAACTATATTTCAAGTTTCTAAAAGACTGTTACTGCACCTTCTGCCTCTCACCTATCCGCTTCAGTGCTTAATTCAAAACTCAGCACGGGAGGGAGATCCCTAGTAAGAACATAGCCACTTGCTATGTATTAGGTTCCTATCAATGAATATAAGTCAGAGTTAACATATATAGCATTAATATCTCACCATGTCCTATGATAGAAATTCTATTAAAAAAAATCTTTCTGTTGTGCACATTTAAAGAATATCTGAACAAAGTGATACATCAGATAGGAAAGAGATAGAGGTGATATGTGAGAGAGAGGATAGTTCAACATGTAACAAAGGCACTATTATTTGGAAATAAATCTACATGTAACGCTTTTGCATTTTTCTACGTAGGACCTCACCTTTCTGCCAGGGGTAGCACTCGCCTAAAGTAGGACTAGGATTGTTACAAGATCAATAAAATAAGAAAGGTGTTTAGAATTTGACATCCAGCAAAAATTCTGAGTCCACAGCAAGACAATAGTCTTCTCTACCAGCTTCCCTTAGGAAAAACAAGATTTTTAAAAACACAATCTTAGTTGCCATTAACACATTAGAAGTCAGACCTATAGAACTAGATCCCAGAATCTGACAGCGCCAAGAGTAGAGAAAGCATAGGGTGTGATGTAAAAGGACACGGAAAACTACCCCAGGTTCAAGGGTCGTAGAGGACAGACAGAAGAGGAAGGGGTCAGACACGGAGTCATTATTTCCCCTCCTCTAAGTTAAAGCCCCACATGAACATGGTAATAGGAGCATTAGGACTAACAGATACTTTTCGGGGCACAGACTGAAGCAAACTCGGAGAAAACCAGCATTCAGCACTTCACATGAGATAGGAGCAGTTAAGGGGCATCAGAGGAGGGAGGGAAGTGTCTAAGACGTGAACCTGAGACAGAATCCCTCTATCCCCACAGCCACTGTGTGGTGTCCCAGGGAGACAGATGTTCCCAAGGGCCCTGAGCAGGGACACAGGAGTGCTGGGTGGGCTTGGCCTCCCCTACTACCTTCCCCCGAAATGAGATCATAAGAAACCCCTTGTCCCCTATAGTCACAAAGCTTCAAGGGGAAGAGTAGAAGGGAAAAAGTCTGGAAGCACAACCAATGATCCAAAATCTAAGACATCCACCC